CTGAGACCATCGTTACGGACAGTTCTGCAACTCGGGGCACAAAGACTCCCACAGGAAGAGAAAAATCCTCTCAAAGTTGCAACCACCCATAAAAATGACAACTCAGAAGGAGATAAACTCTGTGAGTAAAATGTAGCAGAAACAAACACAGGAGGTTGAGCCCTCCGAGAGCTTGACTGATAGAACAGTCTGGAAGAGACTATGAAATAGGTTCACAATTACGTGAAAGTAAAATAAAGAATGGCAATTAGAGTGAAAAAATAGGACTCAGGCAAAAGAAAAGTTTGGTTTGTAAGATGATAAAATGTCTAGAAATTTAAAAAGTAGTTGGATTTAAAATCCATCAGTGGATCATATACAATCAGTGCTTGATTAGTCCCTATTCATATAAGGAATATGTGCGGAGGCAGCACAGAGTGGAAAGGAGAAGGTGAGAGAAGGTGAGACAGACTTTTCAGGTGGACCCCACAGTCCCCACCTGCTGGAGTTTATACCTGGGGTGATCCTCACCCTCTGAGTGTGGCTGGGACCTGCAACCAACAGAATATGATGGAGGTGAGAGCATACGTGTGATTATGTTAACAGCACACAACTGTGAGGTTGTGTAAGATAAGCCTGTAACATCCACTTTGCTGGAATCTCTCTTTTTCTGGTCTGAGGCAGTGAGCAGCCGTGGGGGGACCCCCCGTGCCAGGATCTGTGGGCTGCCTCTAGGAGACGGGGCTACCGCTGCCAACAGCCTCCCTGAACTTGGAAGTGGACCCCCCTTAGCTGGGCTTGTGAGACCGTGACCCTGGCTGACAGTCTGCTGCCTTTGGAAACCCTAAGCAGAGGACCTAGTGAATCCACGCCTGGACTCTGATCCACAGACACTGTGCGGTAATAAATGTGTATCGTTTTATGTTGCGAAGTTTGAGGTAACATTGTTACAGAGCAATAGATAAACAATACAAATCGATTACAAATAGGCAGAATGGAATACAAAATTCAATACATCTATAATATGAAGCCCTATTTTACACCCAGCCCAGATATGCCTCTTGAATTCCAGACTGGACTATTCGCACTGATTCATAATAACTGTATTTAGGTATCCCACAGAACCTTGCATTCATTTATTCAATCAACAAAGATTTAAAAAATAATATTCACCAAAGTTAGCTTATCACGCCCTCAGACCTAAACCTTCTCCCAAGCAATCACGAGGTCTCACTCCCTCGAACTCTGTTAATCTATCCTCCCCTCCACGCACCCTTCAACTACATAGCTGGTGCAAAATCGCCTTTGCTTTTGTCTGCACGACTGCAACAGGCTTCTACCTGTGTCTTTCTGGGTCCAGTCTTGCCTTCCTTTTAAGCCATTCTCTATACAGAAACCTAAGTGATCTTTCCAAAGTGTGATCATGACACTTTCTTGTTTGAAACCCTTCAAAGACTCGCTGCTGCTTTTTGGATGAAAAGCCGAAGTCTCTGCCGTGGTGTATCGGCACTAGTTCTGCTCACTTCTATAGCCCCGGTGGTACCACGTTCCCCGCACCGAGCCATCTCCAGCCTCGACGCACAACCCTGCAGCCCCTTCTGCCTGAAACACTCTACCGCTCCATCCCTCCTTCCCTAGCTCCCTCGAGTCTCGGCTTAGGCTTTGGGAAATTTCCTTGACCTTACGCATCTACCTGTGAGACCGGACAAAATGCCCCTCCTGTGTCCTGCATTACGGCTGTAGCTTGGATCATTTTAACACCGACCTGGGAACTGCCCTTCTCCGTCTGCTCACCTGCGTTCTCTAAGAGACTTTCAACATGTGAGCAAGCATCATGTCTAATTCACAGTCGTATGCCCAGGACTTAGTATGTCACAAAGCAGTTATGCATTAAAATTATTGAATAAATCAAAAAAAGTAGAGATGTAACAGGGTCTGTCTCAGTAACATTGGCAGTTGAAAAGCATAGATCTCTTTTCTTCACTGGTTTCCCACCTAAGTCACTAAACTCAGATTTTATGTGGCACCACTTCCAGAAAAAACTTCATTTTAATTTTGCAAAATTCAAGCTTACACCTTTGATTTTAAAGCCTAGAAATGGCAAAAGGATCTTAAAACAAAATTTGGCGAAGAGTTTGGAAGGTGAGCAATTTTAATCGACCCTGTATTGAAAACACATAATTAAAAAAATTATGTATATTTAAATGGTTTATCACAGCCGCGGCACAGAGTAAGTCCTTCACAGGGTTAGCTGAATTTAGTTGTCTCTCTATGTTACTAAGTTCTCCAAACTTGCCTGTACTCTCTCCTTCCCTATTCTGCACAAAGGAGGGTGATAGAACCCACTCCCATGTACACATACAAAGGAGGAGGAGACACAGCCCTGTTTAGTTTGAATGTTAAATCTGAAAAATAAGCAACATAAATTTTTATCCGAGTAAATACAGGCAATGTTTTAGAAGTCTGGTCCAGAGGAGTTTGAGTTTCTGTAACTTAGGTTACAGAAACCTGAGAGTAGGTTGACCTACGGCGAGAGTCGGCAGTGCAACGCCAACCAACGCTAAGATCGATCAGTCGCAGAAGGCCGACTAGAGGATTCCGTGTCAGAGAGGGAGAGTACACGGGACTTTGACCTTGACGCCTCAGGTGTTTACTAGCAGTGACACAAGTGGGGAAAGAGATCAGGATTCAGGATTATCAGCCAGTGCGTCTGTGCTCATCGTGTGTGTGTGTGTGTGTGTGTGTGTGTGTGTGTATTTGTGTGTGTGTGTGTGTGTGTGTGTGTGGCTGGTGGACATTCCACCGTGCGCGATGTAGTCAAGGCAAAGGAAGACAGATGCCGTCAGAGGATGAGAAATAGAAGGTATAGGAACAAAGGTTTTATTTTTCTGTGCAAACATGTAAAAGCCATAGTCACACACAAGGCAGCTGAAAATACAGAAGAATAAAGACAAAGGGGACAGTTTTTTTTTTTAAGTCAGATACCTCATGACAGCAAGACATTTGGAAAACTGAAAAGCAACTGACAATTACAGTGACAACAGAGAAAGACTGTGACTATCTCTTAGATATATTTGGTAGGGGACACATTACATTCGGAATGACCTTTACGCAAGGACGGATGTATCTAGAAGGGAGGAAAGGTGAAAACTATACATACGGTCTTTGGCTATCATCTATTTTTTGCTCACTGAAAATACTTGTGAATGCAAATATTGATGGGAAGGTTTTCTGCAAGATTCTTGTCACGAAATCTAGCTTTGGGACGGACCATCCGAAGCAGCAGCCTGCACGTGCGGATTGGATGGAGGGAAACAGATGAGCATAAAGCAAAGTTCGAAGTGAGTTGCTCCGGGTTGCAATGACTGCCCGTCCTCCCAAGGACGTGGATTTGCTATGTAAAATCTTCTATCACTAACGCAAAATAAAATAGGATACACTTCCTTTGCCTTTGTAGTATACCATGTTAGCCTTGTTTGTTTGAGTGGCATATTTAAATTTACCTTGATCATTTCCACAGAAAAACAACTTTTTAAAACAATTGGCATTCAGTTTGGCATTGGGTATCGTCCAGTGGATAAATTATCCTCACGTTTTCAAACCAGGGCAGCTCCTCAAGACAGACACGTTGACAAAATGACACTGGCAGGCCGTCGTTATTTTAGTTGCTTTCCGAATTAACTCGTAGGATCAAACTATTTTCATTTTAAATGAATATAGATAATGCCTCCTTTGGAAGGATATCTCCATACGAAGATAGTTAGCATAAATGATAACATGTCAGTAGAAACAATAGAAACAAATAGCTATTAGCAAATAGTTTTTTTCTTATTGCTATTTTATAATCTTTATAATTAAGAATATGTTAATTTTTGTATTTCATTAATTTACTTTATGTAGCCATCATTTCAGGTATACCTTTATTTCAAAAAATTATGATGCCAAATATAATTTGATTATAATAGGTACTATGTTTTTATGGTTTTTTTCAGAAAGATACTTTGAAGAGTACAAATTTACTTATAAATTTCAGATATATATGCCTCTGGGAAAATTCAAGCTTTGTAATATATACCTTTTTGGTATATGTATAAACTACAGTCCTTATTTGTATTAAATATTCACTGAAAAGCAACTGAAATTAGTCTAACAGAGAACTCAACAAGCTCACAGATTCATAAGCAATTAACAAAAAATTTTTCTATTTGTGAGAAAAAAAGGGAAAATATCACAGCAAAAGAAAGAGAAAAAAGATTATCATTTTGTTGGAACAAGGTGCTTCTATGGAATCAAAAATTATATTGGTGAGGTGTGATTTGATATTGATACCAGATAATTCTCTTTCTACATCTTTAGGGATTTAGTGTAATTCCCGTCTCTTTGTATATTTATCACATATCAGAGAACTGGCAACAGCTCATTTAAATAGCTTTGTATGAAAACATGAATGAATATACTCAGTAAGTTCAATCAGTAACTTTCAGATTTTCACGTCACGAATAACAGATGAGAATGAAAGAACATAAATGAAAATAGAATCGCAGTGACCGAGGGCAACTTACAACATGCAAGTTCTTACGCACAGAATGAAGCAGGAAGAAAATGGTTCTTAACTGCGGATGGTCACTCAGGTATAGCAGTGTTAAGGATGATAACATCTGTACCAAATACACTCGAAAACGAGACATTTCTGATTATGCGAAGAAAATATTTTTTCATATTTGAAAGTAGGGTGGGAAAATGTTTTATATGCACACGAAGTGCTTACACTAGGCCTTGAGTTTATTTTAATTTTTGGGATGGTTTCTCCCCCTTTTTTTTTCCAGAGATCTAAAACGAGTCAAGGCGTCTCTCGAACGCAATGGCTCTTGCATTTGGGAACGTTCCCGTCTGGGTCAGTAATCTTCCTGCTCACCCCACTCCACGACCGGCCCGTCACTCACGCGCAGCACCAGGTAAGAGAGCAGCTGAAAGAGGTTCTGCCAGAGCAAGAGAGACACATAGAAGGACAGGCCGCTCACGTCCAGCTCGCAGCGCCGGCCGGCGAAGGCCGCGCCGCACAGGCACTGGAACCCGTCGTGCAGGTCCTGGCACAGGCCGCCGTTGAGGCAGGGATCCGAGGCACACTCGTCGACGTCCTCTTCGCACCTTGAAAATAAACAGAAGCAGCAGAAACCCAGGCCCCCGCTGGATGAATCGGCTGCAGGACAGGGAAAGAAAACCATCTGCCTTATCTGCCTAGCTTGTCTTCCCTTCCCCACGCAACTCACATACGCTTGATAACGTGGGAGACATTCCTCAAAATCCTGTAACGACGTTTGGTTTTAACGGAAATAATTTGCACACGTACGTACGGACACACACAGAATTAATGAGAATGAAAAAACGTGCAAACGTTTAGAAACCGAAAGGAAGCTGGGCCGTGCTGAGCCAGTTCCCCCTGGAGAGCATTGGTGGGGTTGCCACTTCACGGTAAGTCTCGGTTGATTAGGGGCACGGTGGAGTCACAAGGGTGAGGCCGTGTTGGCCAGCCTGGACTCGGCAGAGCAAACCTGCATTCGGGCTGTCAGGATCCTAATGCCTCAGTCCCCTCCGGCTAAGGGGAAAAACTTACCAAAGAGAGATTGAAAAAAAAGGTTTATTTTGGGAGATTTTGAATTATTTTCTTTGAAATGCTCCCCCATTTTTTAGCAAAAGCAAAAGTAAATACTTAGAAGATTTTACTCGCTAATAAATGTGTTTCGATAGCCAACCATAATTTCTGAATATTTAGGTAGAATGACTTTCAAAAGCCAAATTTTCCAAAGCAAGAGACATCAATTCTAAGTTAAATTGAAGGTTTTCCCTTCCCTGGGACACTGTCATTTTTTTGCCTAATTTTCCACCAAGAACTTCTTTTTCTGCGTATTCATTGATTAATCCACCAATCATTCATTTGGTTATTCAGTAGATATTTATTTAACACTTACTGTATGCCAACCACTCTGCTGAGATTTTGGGATAGAGCACTAACTAAGGCATCTATTTTACTTTGGGAAATTCATATAAAATCTTAGCTTCAGGAATCTCTGCAGTGCAGTTTATGAAGTTGAAGTTTGATATAAACAATTTTTAATTTCCCCCTTTTCTTTCCTTTACCTCCCCAAAGGTAAGACTTGCACGTCTGAGTCAGAGACTAATCGCCGGGCTCAGAATGAAAGCGGGGGGAGGAGGTAGTGAGCAGGGCCAGCCCAAGGTATAAAGGAAAACAAAGATTTCTTCCAAGAAAAACAGCTCCTTATCCCGTTGGATACCAAGCATAGCTGAGACATTCTGTTTTCCTTTTTTGGCTTTTGCTTCTGGGTTGGAAGGAGACTTCTCTGATTAGATCTGAGCAGAGCTGCACTACTCTCCGGCGCCTGCCAAGCACTCTCTGTCCTGGGTGGGCCGGAGTGTTCACACCATCTATCATCCCAAACCTGCTGGGATGACACCATAAAGTGGAGGTTTAAGCAAGGCAGGAGAGAAGTCAGCTTGTTAGAGGATAAATATCCTCGATATCCTTGGGCGTTATGAAAGTCACATTTTCCTAGGCTGTGGGAGATGGCCCAGTATTTCCTGGTCTTCCTCTGGCTAGCTACTCCTTATTGCTTTCTTACCTACTTTTCTTCTGAACAGCGAACAACACATACACGTGTTGTTCATTGGGGCTTTCATGACCAGTTAATTGATGGATGGAAAGAAAAAATAAATCCATTAGCATTTAGCGAATGAACAAATGATGGTTAAGAACTCCGCAAGAACAGAACCTACTGAACACAGGTTCACTGTTGCAGAAATAATTTTGCCTCAGAGATGTTTATCCAGATGAAAAGTTTACTGGGAAAAGGAAGTAAAACTCTGAGCTTTCTTTTCTTTCCATGTTTCAAATCCACAATTTGAATTTAAATGCCAAATGTAAATTTTTTTAAGCAAATAAATATCAGAGGAAAGGGAAACGTTTGTTGTAAACAGAGACAATGTGTGAGTAGCAGAGAAAAATAATGCAAGACTTCAGATGTGCTCTGGGCAGTGTGGCATTCGGCAGCCACTGTGACAATCGGCCAGGAAGTTACCAGCACTTAAAGATAGTTAAGGAGTTGTTCAAAATCTAGGACAAAAAAAAAAATTGCGATATTTTGAAGATATATAGAATTGGAGGCCAACTGAATGGTTTCTGTTAATAAGTTGCATGACAGAAATCGGTACAGCGGAAAGCAGCATGTGACTTAAGGCCACCTCCTTCCACGCTCGTAAACTCCCAGGCTGCCTGCGCCTCTCAGCGCCAACCACAGACGGCAGACTGCAAAAGGAGGGGTTAGACTGGCCATTGAACGTTGGAAGGGCAAGGTGCAAGTATACCCTAGATTCCCTGCTGTTTCGTAAAAATGGCAAAAAATCTGTATGTGTGTGAAACCAAAAGAGCCAGTTGAAAAACAGAAAATTCAAATTAATCCAAAGTGTGATTGTCATGGAGCACAAATATACCCATGATTTTATTAACTACCCTTATGGGAAAAATAAAGTCAGTCAAAATCTCTTTGTCAAATGTGTTTGATTTCAATTTATTTAATTCATTCAATGTAGAAAGCCCAATCAGATATCATTATATCTTACCCTGGATGGTAGATGAGATGGAAGAACACTTTTTCCATTTTTTGAAAATTGCGGTGAGCAGGGATTTATTCACACAGTGTTGCCAGCACATTGGACAGATGAGCAGAGGCTTTGAAGGCAGCTCAACCTACTGCATGCAGCACATCTGCATCGGAACCTAATCTGTCAACCCTCAGCCTCAGTCTACACCTATGCAAAGCGAAAATCGTAAAACTTCCCTTGCAGCGCTATAACGATTAGGGATGATATTTGCAAGGTGCATGGCACAGAGCTAAACAAATGGTTAACTGTTTATTATCTGTTTATATAATACTGATATTCAGTAGAGCCCTGGTTTGCAACTGCTTTTGGAACTTCGGTCCCTTTGAGAATCTGCTATAAAGCCATGGAGAATGCGTTCCTTCCACCCTCAACCCCACCCCGAGCCAGTCAAATACATGTCCAAAATCCGCCACACTTTCAGCGGGTCACAGATTACGCGAAGCCATTGACCAACTCCGTGTTAATAATCCCTGCGTTGGTCGAAGAAGAGTTCTCTCTGGGAAAGGTGGAATCGTGTGGAGGAGGCGTGTGTACTTTCGGGTCGCGGCAGTTCTATGGGGCAATCTTTTAGGTGCATTTTATTTTACTTCACCGTATTTGCATCACATGTTAGAGTGAGTGGGGAAAAACATGAATCCAGAAGTACTTGCAAGAAAGAAAAATAGCACATTATGCATTTTTAAAGATCATATTTTCCTATTTGAAGTCTTGGCTGATAAAATGTTCTCCCCTTTGACCTAAACTGTAATTTTTCTTCTTTTTTTACTATTTTGACTCTGTCTGGACCCATATTTCAGCATAGATTTTCCTATGGGAACTGAAATGAAAAATTGGAGGAGAAAGTGAACTCCAAGTAATCCCATCGTTCTTTAGCCCAGAACTGTCCTCCGTGAAGCTCTCACGGGACTCACCGCTCTCCGGCGAAACCGGGCCGGCACACACACTTCGGTCCGGCCTGCAGCTCCGTGCAGTTGCCGCCGTTGTAGCACGTGAGATTTGCCTGCTCGTTCCCACAGACCGTCGAGGGTAATCCGCTCTGTCTAGGGAGATAAAAGTAACAGTCACAGCTGTCCATTGTGTTCAGAAATTTTCTGATAAACTTGTATATGTAGTCAATGCCAAACTAATTAAGCACTCAGGCTGGAGGAGCTACAAATGCTTAATCGTGCTGTATTATAAAAGCATCACTTTCTCCAGTAAAAAGCTCCGGCTGGAGGGTCCTGTAGCAAGCACAGCTGTACATCTTCTATTTCTACGCAGTTTTCGTTCGTGAGACAAGATCTATGCCATGAGGTGGCAATAAATTCAGGGCTGGAAAAGAACTTGCTATAACTAGATTTGCTGCTGCTTTGCTAATAAATCAGCAAAGGCCATAGGAAAATCGCATCTCTATAAAGGCCAGGAAAGCAAGGATAGCTCTCTGGTACCGAAGCACTCATGGGATTTCTCTGTTGGCTTTCGGAGCTGAACTCCGGTTGCCCTGCCAGGGCTCGCTGCTCCAAATCTAGTAAATCATAACTTTGCAGAACGCAAGCCGAACGCGGTCCAGGAGGTCTGTGTGCAGCACTGGTGACTGCGTGTGGATTCAGAGAGCAGCTTTCTTGTACGGCAGCAAAGCTGTACCTGTTAGAGAATGCTTACAGAAGAGCACAAATGGTAGAAGATAAGCAAAGCTTAATTGCAAGACAAAATCCACTGGTTTGGAGCCACGGATGTTTGAAATGATTTTAAGAGTGCTGCTCAGGCCCTTTGACATGCTTTATATGTGTGTGGTATCCGATACATAATAAACATTCAGGAAACGTAAAGTGAATTGAGTGTTGTCCTGTTGTGTGTGCTGCAGCTAATTTGGAGAAATCGCCCACATGATGCTAAGTGTGTCTCTTCCCACAAGAGCTAATCAATTCTACTTTAAAAAGAAGATATCGTAAGGACTTTTCAAAAGAGCCAAAAATGTCAACCAGCTTTGAAAGGGGTCGATTAGCAATGCAAATAACTGAGCTTTGTATATATCTTAGGTTTAATAAACAATTCTTGAATCTCATTAGAAGGTACTTTTGAGAACTTTAGTCTTTGAGAACTTGGCTTTGATGAGTTAGACAGCAAAAAAAAAAAATTGGAGAACTAGTTACTAGGGCCTCTATGTTTATTTTGCTTATCAAAAGTCACTGTGGAATACTGTTGATTTTGATCCTGAATTTCTCTTGCTTTTAAATAGGCAGATTATACCCTGGCAAAGGAGTTGGTTAACTCATGGGAAATAGTATTTTACAGGAATGTCAACACTTGGCACCTACCCTGTGTCTTGCCTTCATGGGCTCTGAACAACAATAAATGTTATGGAGAGATACACAACTTCTTTTAGGTGTGGCTACATGTTATGTCTGCTGGGAGATTCGTGCAACTAAGGTACCACGTCTGAATCAGTGTAATGTCTACAGGCCAACCCGTTCCAGGTGTTCTTGCCAAAGTCCTGGAATATATTACTTGTTAATAACAACCCTCTCACCTCCCCATAATGACTCAATTATTTAGTAAATTTAAAGCAGTATAAGTTGTAAAAACAATAATGACTTCTACTTACATGGAAATATTGAAGCAATGTGACTTAGAAGGAAAATATTTTTCTTATCTCTGTTTATATAACATGAAATGGAGGTGGTTACTAGCACTAAAATACTGCTGTGTAGTTGTAGGAAAAAATTGTGAAATACTTTGAAATGGGTAAGAGATTACTGGGTATTCTTTCAGTGGAATGCCAGGACCCGCTAAGAATGCCTGATTTTGTAGTGATGTGTGCCTCAGATTTTCTTTACTAAGCTACATTATAATCCTGTAAGTTCTAGAAAATGATATTACTATGTATGAATCTTATTCATCAAAACGCAAATAAATTTGTAATGAGCAATAGAATTGATTGTCAGACTACAGAAAAGATGATTTCAAGCATTAATATTGTTGCCTTATACGATAGAAAGCAGTTTTGCATTTATTTGTAAATTCATTTCCTTGTTCTTGTTTAAATATAAATATGCGCCTCTCTCTCTCTCTCTATATATATATATATAAAATTTAGATTGTCTTTTCACCTGGTTTTTATATCTTCCCTCATTAAATCCGAACAAAATTATCAAAACGTTTTCACTTTGTATTTGTCTGAGAGTCATATTTCACATTTTTGAAATTACAGTCGACCCTTAAACAGCACACGTGTGAACTGTTCGACTTACACGCAGATTTTCCTCTGCCGCCCCTGAGACACCAAGATCAATCCCTCCTGTCCCTCCTCCTCCTCGGCCTGCTCAGCGTCAAGACGAGGAGGAAGCCCTTACGATGCTCCACTTCCACGTAATAAACAGTAAACACATTCTCTCTTCCTTACCGTTTTCTTAATTACATTTTCTTCTCTCTAGCTTACTTTATTGTAAGAATCTAGCATATAACACATACATGAAACATGTGTTAGTTGACTGTTTGTGTTATTGGTAAGGCTTTTGGTCAACGGTAGGCTATTAATGATTGTTTTGGGGGAGTCAAAAATTATACGTCGGTTTTCGACTGCACGGGGTGGGCACTCCTAACCCTCGAGTTGTTCCAGGGTCTGCTTTATACTGTAATGCAGTCTTTTCAGGATTTTACAATAGTTACCTGCATGAAATAACCCAGGGCATTATTTTAGCGGTAAAAGTCATGCTTTCCCTAACAGTACTGAAATTCAACTTTTGTATTTATTGTAAATGTATGTGTTTCCTGAGGCCTTAAATCCATCAGACCCTGGGACTGTAGCTCATGAGAGATATTCTAACACAGATGACTGAGAAGACATTTTGCTTAAAGTCTGCTGGACACACTTCCATTCTTACTTGTGGGACATTCCAGCAAGTGAGATCCTGTCTGCACACGAGCAAACCGCGGTGGAAGTGACCAGTGCCAGCCCTGTTCAGCACAGATACGTGCGTACATCGAAGAGAGAGCTTCCCAATTTGACAAGAAAAACAACATAGAGTAGAGCACCAAAGACCAAACTTTACACGGACGTTATGCTCACCTGCAAAATTTTCCTGTAAAATTTCCAGAACAGAGGCAAGAATAGCCACCGATGCCACTGATGCAGGTGGCCCCGTTTGCACACTGGTGACCCTGGCAGTTGTCGACATCCACTTCGCAGTTCACCCCGGTGTAGCCGGGCTCGCATCTGCAGTGGTAGGCTGAGGCTCCGCCAGAGCAGTTGCCATGGATACAGGGGTCTGGAAAGCATGCATCGATGCTGAGCTCACAGCGCGTCCCCGACCATCCCACGGGACAAGAGCAGTGGTAAGAGCTATAGATGTCCTCACAGTTTCCTCCGTGCAAACAGGGGTCGGAGTGGCAGGCATTTACCCGCAAACACCCAGTCACCACTGAATGGGTAGAGATTTTGAGAAATTGCTCTTCCTGGGGTTTGTTAGTGAAACCACGAACACTTTCAAAGTAAGAGAGATAGATACCTCCGACTTCTATTGTACTTAGACACCCTTCCAGGCCCTCCGTGTTGTCAGTCGCTTGGTTACCCACATAGATGTCTGTATCATCCTTCAAAAAGCTGAGGCTTCCGGTAGGGACCGCACTGGTCAGAGAAGGTGTCTGGTTATCCACGACCATCTGCCACCTGGAGGCCGGGGCCAGCGGGTCTGCCATGGAAAAAGTCACTTCGTGCCACATGCCATCGTTCACTGACTGCAAACTTGTCAGGCTCAGCATATAGAAGCTGTTGCCACTTTGCAGTTGAAAGAATAATCTGGAATCGCGAATGCTGATATTAAGAAATTCAGGCTCTTTTTCTGCATGCAGGATTATCACATTTGCATCCCTGGTTCTGAAACCAAATGTGATATTGGTGAGTTCTCTGGTAATATTCCCATTGCTTCTGAATACTATTCCACTGCTTTGTCTGTTAAAAACGGCATTTGCGATACCTAAAGAGAGAAGGCGATACTAATCAGCAACTTTATTAAATCTATAGTTTGCTTAAATACCTTTATCAATAGTAATGATCATCGCGTTAATGACATCACCTATTGATTGATAATATACCTGGCATGTAGCCAGGTATATTATTCCTAATATAGAACTCTTCAATACAGGGATTATTATTATTATCCCTATTTTATGAAAGAAGAATTTGAGACTCACAGAAGTTAAGTAATTTGTTCATTGCCATGTAATTAATAAATAATAATGGCAGAATGTCAAACCTGGAAGGTCTGATACCAAAACACAAACCATACATTTATTTTCCATTGAAACCCTAATGCATGCCAATTCTTATTTTGCATTTTCTCCCACAAATAAAGCATTCACTGTCCATTTTATACATAAAGAAGTTGAGCACAAAGAAATTACAAATCTAGCTATGGTGACAGAGCAAATTAATAATGGAGTCTGTTTTTAGATTAAGCTGATCAGTAGGCAGTTAAAAATAGTATTCCAAATTACCGACCTTCCTGCCTGGCAAAACACCAATTACATGCCAAGTTACTGCTCTGTACTCTACTCAAGTGCTTTCACACGGCTGGGAAAAAATATTTAATCGTATCGATTGCTGTCGCTCTGTGCCCATGTATTACATGTGAGCACAGCACTTTTGGGCGATCTTATTGCATTTCTCTATTAAAAATATTTTTTCCATTCTGCAAGGTCATTAATTCACAGCTTGTTCTATCTCTTAAAATATCTGACACTATCTCAGCATATTATGTCCAATGATACTTTCTTGAGAAAACAGGAGAAACAGTAACTGTTCCAGCTTTCCGCCAGATCTGGAAAACTAACGGACGTGCTCTGCTCTCCGTCCTGTCATAACGGACACACTGTCCTTGTTCCCGTCCTGGATCAACACTTCTAGCGATGCGCCGGAGCCTTTTCGTTTCACCTTTTTGAGGCATTGTTGCTACGTACGTCCTCGTTCTGTGCTGCATCACCCTCTTCCCTTCCTTTTCGTTGTTTCTCATCAATACACAACTATGTTGTAACTGTTTCAATCTTGAAAAGTACAAACACGCACAAGACCCGAAAACAGTACCCTGACACCCCCGATCCTGCTGCTGTCTTGTTTCTTTATTCGCTTTACCAGCAAAACTTCCTCCAGTAGTTTTATATCATCATCGTCTCTGCTTTCTCACGTCCCAGCTTCTCTTTATTTTTATTTATTTATTTATTTTTTGAGACAGAGTCTCACTGTGTTGTCCGGGCTAGAGTGCCGTGGCGTCAGCCTAGCTCACAGCAACCTCCAACTCCTGGGCTCAAGCGATCCTCCTGCCTCGGCCTCCCGAGTAGCTGGGACTACAGGCATGCGCCACCATGCCCGGCTAATTTTTTCTATATATATTTTTTTAGTTGATAATTTCTGTCTACTTTTAGTAGAGACAGGGTCTCGCTCTTGCTCAGGCTGGTCTCGAACTCATGACCTTGAGTGATCCACCCGCCTCGGCCTCCCAGAGTGCTAGGATTATAGGCGTGAGCCACCGCGCCCGGCCTTAGCTTCTCCTTGGTACACGCCACTCAAGCTTTGTCCCAATCACTTCGCCGAAGCCACTCTCATCAAGGTTACGACGAACGATGTCATGTTACTTAATTTAGTGGCCAATTCTCTTCTCTCGTTGCATTTACTTTTCAGTAGCAACTGACCTTAAAACGTGGTCCTGACCTCATTTGTCAGGCACCACACCCCACTGTCATCATCTTTCAGTTAGACTAATTAACACCTGTTAGTGTCCCTGCTTCCACTGCCCTGCAGATCAACACAAGGACCTCCTCCACCAAGATCTGCACTGGCTACCTCCTCATCTAGAAAGAAATCCTAAATTCTAAACACCCTCAAGCGTCTGCACAATCTCACTCCTGGTTAACTCTCCAATTCCAAACCCTACCATCTCTTCTTCACTCGCATGCTACGGCCACAAAAACCTCTCACTCTTCATCGAAGACACCAAGCTTGTTCCCACCGCAGGCCTTTTACATGTGCTGCTATTTACACCTGGAATATCCTTCCCCCAGATCTTCCCGTACGTGGCTCTTCCTCAGCGTGGATATCTGCTCAGATGTCACCGCCTCTGAGCAGCTTTCCCTGACTATCCAAGTTGAAATAGCTTCCTGCCTGCATCTACTCTCTATTCCACCACTCTGCTTCATTTTCTTCATAGCTGTTACCATTTGCAATTATGTTGTTTATTAGTCTACTTGTTCATTGATTTTCTGTCTTAGAACATGACAGGGATCTTCTCTGACGAGGTTTTCACTAAATCCCTATGCCTGGAATATTGCCTCCTGCATAGCAGGTGCTCTGTAAACATTAGTAAATGAATATCCTGTGAAAATAACTCCGTCCTTTATTCTGGAAACTGAGATAATTATCAGAAACCACAGTAGGAGAAAACTTAAGTATATCATCCAATTGTTATAATTCAGGTACATTATTTGACTAGATTAAAATTTTGCTTGATCTTATTGCTTTTAATTGTTGTATTTTTTTCTGCCAGGTTTGGGTTTGGGGATTTAAGGAGGGAAAGAGCATAAAGTGTCTCATCACATGTTTTAACGTAAATATTAAAATGACAAATCTCATTAGTCCTCCAACTCCTAAATGAAGAATACTGTCTGTGATACTATATAAATTTATTTTAATAACACGGCTGAGCACACTGAAATCACTCTTGTGATCTCACTAAAAACCTCAACACATAACAACATTCATGCTTTGCCTTTTCTTCAGGGACCTTTGCCATAGTAAACACATCCATCGGTATCCAAGGTGAGCTGTAAATTTTCAAATTTTGGTTTAAATCTTGGTAGGATACAGAGATAGAAATGATCAAAGTCCTAAAGGCAAACTCAAGGTAATATGTCAGCTGCACTCTCACGAGTACATTGTTCTCTCTACTAGACCTAATCTTCTCAAGATTTTACTTGAAAACAAAATACGATAGGGTCACAAGATCACATAAAATTAAATTATATAAAGTAACAAAAACGAATTCCAGGGCTCATACATGTCAATTAGGCCAGTGGTCCCCAACCTTTTTGGCACCAGGGACTGGTTTCATGGAAGACAATTTTTCCACGGACCAGTGGATTGACGGGGGGATGGTTTGGGGATGATTCAAGCACATTACATTTATTGTGCAGTCAAACCTCTCTGCTAATGATAATCTGTATTTACAGCCGCTCCCCAGCGCCAGCATCACCGCCTCAGCTCCACTTCAGATCATCAGGCTTTAGATTCTCATAAGGAGCGCACAGCCCAGATCCCTCGCATGCGCAGTTTACAGCAGGGTTCTTGCTCCTATGAGAATCTAATGCCGCCGCTGATCTGACAGGAGGCGGAGCTTATGCAGTGATGCAAGTGATGGGGAGCGGCTGTAAATAGAGATGAAGTTTCCCCTACTTGCCCCACTCACCTCCTGCCAGTTCCAAGCTGCCACTGACCAGTACCAGTCTGTGCCCAGGCATTAGGGACCACGTAATTAGGCAATTGGTTTACAATTCCTATTGTAAACCTCCTATTGATTTACATTTTCTCTCTTCACTAAGTAATACTTAAAAAAAAAAGAAGGGACTTTCTGGGATGTCGGAGCCAGAATCCCTACTCCTTTCACAGTGGCACTGTTGTAGCAGTAAAGATTCATTCCACTTCTTTCTGACGTGCGTGTCCAAGTCCTAACCCGGTTGTGTCTAGGCTCCAGCCCAGCGTGCATCGCGTCCGCCACTGTTTCTAGAAATCCTATTCTTTTTTCCCTGTGGAAATGTTCAAAATGGTTTGAACTCCTTTGTAGAACACAATGAGGACTACATTTCTATCAAAAGATTAACAATAAAATTAATAATAAATTATTTTGAACAAGTGTTTCAGAAGTAGAGCACTAAAAAGTTGCATTTAAAATTCTGTACCACATTAGAACCAGATTACATTCTTCAAGCCAAACTCATTATGTTTTCTCTGCATGTGTGGTATATATTTCTTAACTATGAAACATAAAAGCAAACACATTCTTCTAGAAAACTTCCCCAAGTGTATGTACAGTGCAGTGAGTTCATGCAGCTATTTTAACATATGTTTTTGAAATATAGAAACATAAATGTCAACATATTTTTCCCTTTTCCTCAGTACGTGGGGGCCCAGTCTCAATAGGATGTTGTTGCTACTGACTTGGGGCCAATCTGTCCTCTCATTCCATTCCTTTATTTTAGTGCAATATTTTCTAAGGTATTTTATGTAAGTTTTTATTGCAATCAGATGATGTACTTAATGTCTAGAACAGTTAAGTGAAAATATTGGGTTAATTTTCAGAAAAATAATAAGTCAATTTATTCCTTTAACAAATGTTAATTGACAGCGTACACGTGTGTGGCACTGTTGTAAGGGCTGACGGTAACATGAGAAACCGCATAGAAAATTCCCTCGTCTTGTCAAACTTACATTCTAGCCAGGAGAGATATGATAGGCGAAGAAACAAATGCATACAGAACAAAACGTTAGGAATGATGAGTGATACAAAGGAGCAGGAAGCCGAGTGAGAGGACATCGGAAGGGAAGTATGGAGGTAACCTGTGAGGCCGTGGGTGGGAGGGTTCAGGAGGGAGGCGGCGGTTGGTTCGGAGTCAGACTGAGGGGCGGGAGAGAAAGGAGTGAAACGCTGGGAGCACGTGGAGAACAACAGTGCAGAGGGCTTTTTTCTCACTATAAAAGGGGCGGAGAAGTGGGGTGGCAGCTAGTGGGGATGCTGGTTGGGGGGAGTCAAGGGAAATTTTTGTGATGTGGAAATTTGACGGCGAGTGTATGTGCTGGGGGAAAAATTGGCGGTGCTGGTGAGCGGAAGAAAAACCTTAGGGGCAAGATCTTTGAATAAGGGGAAGAAATTGGAATTCAGTGCCAACAGAGAGGGTCAGAATAGGAGAGAAGACAGAATATATGTGTAACAGCATGGCTAGCATGTGCATTGTCAAAATTGTGGATACAGGAGAGTATTCAAATTGCTGAAAGTTGGGAAAGTGTGTTCTGTAGAGCAGAAGACGGGCAGGAAATCCTTCACATAGAGGGAAATTCCCATAATGCACTTGATTCTCTACACATAAGATTATACAATCATCACAAAAATATCTACAAAATGGGTGTTGTTATCCCTCTTTTACAGGTGAAGACGTTTTAGATTAGAGAGATCACCTGAATTTCCTGAGACCTAACCACTAATAAATGACCGTATGCCAACAGTAGCACATTTATTCTGTATTCTCGGTAGTGAGGAAAAGAAAGTCAAATATTATTACACCTGGTTAATTATTTCTTGAGAAATCAGCTTTAAATGATCAAACATCTAGGTCTGCTGTTGCTGTGACCTCCGTTTCCCGTCCAGACACCCTCAGGGCAGGTAAGACAAGGTCAGTGGGGTTTATTATTCGACTCATCTCAGGTGCATGAACCTACTCACATAGGGAAACAACCACAAATTCGTTTAATACGCTGCCTGAGTCTGTATTCTTCTTCTGTGCTGTCTCCTGGAACAAATAAAATGCCCCAACTTAACCGGAGGGACGCTGGGTTTGAACTCTACCTACATTCAAATCCTCGAGGCACCGGCTGGCACCGGGCTCTGGGAGGACACGGGCCGAGCTGACACCACCGAGTCTCCTCACAGGCTCTCCCGGCTGCGTGCGCAGGGCAGGAACACGAGAAGTCGTCCCACAGGGAACGGCAGACGCCTCCATTGTGGCAGGGTTTGGACTGAGCAGAAGAGAAAGCAAAGACAACTAAATATGAAAATGGTGAGGGTGAGACCACAGATCTGTTATTTTCAAACGCTAATTTCCCTACGTATTTACACTGTAAACTTTTAATATCCACTGTTTGTTAAACAGAACGAAACTGACTACTCCCGTTGCAAACTCCTTTCTCAAAGAGGGTGGGGAGAGAGAGAAAGAGGAGAAAGAGAGAAAAAATGTAAAATTGATCAATAACACAAGGAGCATTTTTTAAAGTATAACCATACTCTCTGTAATTCACAAATTACCAGCTACTTTTTCACATGCACTAATTACCATTTTAGGTAGAAGCTATTATGTGTTTTTACACATGAGGAAACTGAGGCCTCTACGATTTCCCAAGATCCTATAAATAGGTGAAATAATGAAACTTGGTACTTAGATCCTCTGGGTCCCAAGTCAGTGACCCCCTACCCCCACTAGTTGTTCGGCCTCTGAATCAGAGACATACTGTTATTTGAGATCTCACAAGATCGCTCACAAAATATTCAAAATAAAAGTATTTAAAAAGAAGTTTATTAGAGCCTGGACTGTATTTGTTCCAGATTTTCTATTAACATGTGACTTGGGCTAGTAACATAACTTTTCTAACCTCCCGTTTCTTTATCTCTAAATAACATTAATTGGGACAACAATAATACCTGCTCTATACAGTGGTCCTTCGACAGAATTAAATGGATTAATTCATGCGAAATAGTGCCTGATATATTGTAAGTTTTCCTATAATAATGTTACAATAATTCATTTGTTTTGTGTTTAGAACCAAACCTAATGCATGGAAACAGTTGGAAACACATATAAATAAATATGTTTCCTTCTCTTCCTTCGGAAAGTCATGCGGGGCTGACGATTTCTTATATTTAAGTAGCTCTTAGAGGGGCACACAAAATATGTAAAATAAAGCATGGGCTCTAGAAATTATATTTCAGAAGATTTCAAATCCAACTACCAAAAGGAAGTTACCTCTCAGATCTCCTTTTCTCATTAACTTAATAAGAGATCAAAACAATAGTAGCTGGGCATTTAAGATAAAGTTAATGGTATCTTCCTAAAACGGTAATTATGTGAAACCTCTGGGATGTCATTAAGAATTTAGGAATTAAAATGCTATTATTGTTAAGTAATTTGATTGTTGTGAGCTAGGAGAACCCTGTAGCTGGAGGTATCTTGATTGGTTAAATAGATCGTGGTGCCAATAAGATCAAGGCTGTATTTCTATGGCTCACTGCAAACTCCCCGTCTTGCTGGGAAAAATATACATGAAGCTTTATTCTACGTCTGAACACTCAGTAACATTGTTTTCACGGACAAGGAATGATTTTAATAAATTGTCTATTTAATAAAACAGAAGTTTAGCATGTAATACATACACAGTCGCTACGAATACTCCTACCTTGCACATGTTGTCTCCAGGACAGCCTTCCGTCACATTAACAAGAATTGATTTGAGAGACGCATTATTCGTTGCATTGGGGAAGAATTCCAGGTTTTGGTTGTTTAGTCTTATATCTTGGATACAGCCTTTGAAAAACCCACCATTCAGTTCTGTCTCTTGCTTGTCAGGGAGGCCACCAATGTAGATGACATCTCCCCTTCGGATTTTCCATGTAGGAGCAGAAATAAATCCTAGGTTTTGTGAAGATTGATATAGTTCAATTTTACTTGGTTCGATTTTCAAAGATATCAAGTGGACATTTCCATCACTAATAACAAATTTTACTACTAATTTTGGGGAGCCTGGAGTCAGCATTGCTAATCTTCCGTGCTCTATCCAGACACGGATGTGTCGGTAAGTGCTGTTTTCCAAAGCTAGAAGTAAGCCCGATGATCGGTGTGTCCGGACAAACATGGAAAGGCTGATGTTCTCCCCGTAGCTTTCATCAAGCGTGAAGGCGGCGTATCCGGTGGAGTCGTCGAGGCCGAATCTGCCTGCTACGTACTCTTTGATGTCAAAATAAAGGAGGAGGAGAAAAAAAGAAACATCTTGAGACTCCACAGCAAGAAGGGACAGAAGATGAATATTTTGTATACACATGTGAAAATTTTGCACACGCACACACACTCATGCATACTTTTTAAAGTTCAAGACAGGCTTATTCTACTGAATAATGATTCAGCCTCATTTTCTGAACTTCTGAGTTTACTTTATCCCTCAAATAACTACATTTTGGTTTATAGTTTATAGCTGAGGCCCAGTGATCAAAAAAGAGGCAAAGGAGTTCTCTGCACTTATGAACTAAAGAACCTCCCCTTCGTGGCCCTAAAATGCCAGGGCTTAACGGTGGAATATCAGTGCTCCAAGTTGGTGGAAGAAATTTTGGGGCAAAATCGCTTCATGTAACTTCTGTGAGCAGACTGTGCAGACAGTCATAATCTTTGCAATTTGAAGGCATGCTGAAACAACATGCATTAAACTTAATTATTCTTTGCAAAGAACAGAAATCAAGAATTAGATGATCATATCCCCTTTTGGTATAATGACTTCTTTTCCTTTGGATAGATACCCAATAATGGGATTGCTTGTGGTAGCACAATTCACAATTGCAAAGACAGGGAGTCAACCTAAGTGCCCACCCACTGAAGAGCAGATAAAGAAAATGTGATATATAAAAATATATACACACACGAACACATATGTATACCATAGACTACTACTCAGCCATAAAGAAAAATGAAATGACGTCTTCCACGGCAACTTGGATGGAACGGAAAGACATTATCCTAAGTGAAGTATCTCAGGAAGGGAAAAACAAATACCACATGTACTCTCTAATAAATTGGAGCTAAACATGTGTGTACATGGTCATACAGAGTGGCATCATGGACTTTGGAGGCTCAGAAGGGAGGAGGGCGGGAGAGGGGTGAGGGAGCAAAAACTACCTGCCGGGTGCAGCGTACACTATTCAGGTGACGGGTACACTAAAAGCTCTGACTTCACCACTGAACAATTCATCCATATAACAAAAAACCACTTGTACCCCCTAAATCTACTGGAATTAAAAAACAATCCTTTTTGGGGATGACACCGCACATAAAAGGCAAGGCCACTGAACGAAGGAAGAGGAGGACTCTTCCCTCTGCGGTCCTGGTTGGGAGCAGGAAACAGGAAGGAGGGAGCAAGGCTGAGTGTTCAAGTCACCCAGCACTTCCTGTGGTCAGGGAAGTGAGTAATGCACTTCTGTGGCAATACCATCGATATGCATCACCTAGAGAAAACTCTTGAGATGTACAAAAATGAAACCTCTAACATTCAAACGTATTGATATTATAGTAGGAACAAAAACTCCTGTCCTCATACAGCTTACATTCTAGCTGGAGGAGACACACCAGGCACAGCTCAGGAAGCAAACTATTTAGTGTGTCAGATGGTGACAACGCTTTCGTATAAGTCGGTCAGATAGAGAAAGGGAATAGATACAGAGATTTGGGGGTAGGGGTACAGCTGTCATCTTAAATAGAACAATCAGGGAGGAACCCTCTGAGAAGGTGACATTTGAGCAAAAAGTCAAAGAAAGTACAAACATTACTGTAGTAATTCAGGACTGAGATGAGGATGGCTTGGATCAGTAGTAATGTAGAAATAGTGAGAAGTGGACTTTTGAAATATTTTGAAGAACATAAAATTTTCTGGAACAAGTTCATCTTCAAGGTTTTTGGCCCAAGCAACTAGAAGCGTGGGGTTTTCTTTTGCAGAGATGGGGAGGAGAGCTGGAGGAATAGATTTTTCGGGGAAATGGGAGTCCGTATTGAATTCAAGGCGCCCTGTTAGATGTCCAAGTGGAAATGGCCAGTAGGCATCGATATAGAGCTTCTGGGGAGATGTTCTGGGTTATCTAGAATGATTGGGGATTTGTCAGTGCATGTAAGATATTTAAAGCCACGAGACTGGGTGAGATGAGAGTGAATATATAGAGACAAAACAAGAGGACCCAGAACTGAGCCCTTGGGCGTTAGACAAGTGAGGTAAAGGGGATAATGAAAGATGAAAGCCAGTAAGATAAGAGGGGAACAAGGGAGAGTGATGTCCCCTACGCCCAATGAGAAAGCAGTGTCAGGAGGAGGAGCGTTCAGCTGTGTTAACTGCTACTGAGAAGCCAAATAAGATGAGGACCCAGAACCGATCACCGAATTTTGCCATCTAGAAATCACTGATGATTCGAAAAGAGTACTATCTTAAAGATATTGCTGTCTTCAAGTTTTTACATCCCAATCCTAAACAACAACAAAAAAAGAATATATTCCAGGCATGTTTAAATGTCATACGGCCCAGTTGAATTTGGGCAAAGACAAGATACATTTTAGTTTAGCTGAGCTGTAGTGAAACTTGCTGAGGCAATCATGTGTTTGATGCTCTTCTGCATAGAAGGCTACATTTTCAGAACTCCGACTTAATTTCCTACAGGAACGGTGCATTTTGAATCTGCATTGGGTGACCACCTGTTCCAGGCAACCACACGTAGCTTTCAAAGTGTACCGTTAGATAAAAAAACCCTTTTGAAGGGGTTAACGTTGCTGAATACACTGCAGCCCTTTCATATCAGATAAAATGCTTAATGATAAAATTTGGCTCTTGAAGCCCCTGAGGTTTGAAGGTGCACACAGAATCACTCAGCCTAAGGGTCCGGGGCCTGCTGGTCATCCCAGGGTGCCGCAACATCGCCGTGTTGATCCAGATTAAAAGACAGGATGTAGAGCTTTCTTTAATTTTCTTAGACGCTTAACTCTTCAGCAATCCTCTCCTTCAGAAACCACAAGCAAGTAGTCAGCATGTGGGACGTGCTGCGTGAGTTCAGAAGCATCTTAAGCTGCGCATGAGTTGGCTGTGGGCATGGAAGGAATAATTCTCATACGTGCTGTTGACACGGTATGAAGAGGGACAAGATCTACAGACGAAAAGCAATGTTGACAAGCTTTCATGATCGATGAGATACAAGAAGATGAAATTTAATAAGAATAAAGAAGAGCCCCTTAGACCTGAATGAACCTCAGAGGTTTAGGGTAGGAGAAACAGGACTCCGCGGCATCGTGAGTGACGGTCACTCACAATGAGACTCGGTGTGACATCAGCCTGGCTGCAAAGTAAAAGCACCACATACAGAATGAGGAAGGCATAGCCCTGTGTCCCTCTGTGCCTCAAGCACATCCAGGCACCGCGGTGTAGAAGAAACGCAGATAAGCAAAGTCTTTCACAGCCAGCAAGCAGGGGGTGAAGCGTCTGAAACTATGTCACATGGCAAACGTCAGCAGAAACAAGGACGTTCAGCACGATAGAAGAGAGGGCTCGAGTTACTTTTCTTCAAATCTCAAGAGGAAGAGATGTTAGGATTTTTATTTGCAGGCCCTCAAGAATTATTGATACAGTGTGGCCAATGAATGAAAGCTATGGGCAAATCACATTTTATTCAAATGTAAGGAGACAACTTTGGGGAAATTGTTGGCGAGATGGAGTGAGTGAGTTCTCCGTTCCTGAAGGAGTTTAAGCGGAGGCTTGGTCACTAAACTTGGCAGTCAGAGTGTAAAGAATCCAGTGGTGCCCTGAAGCCCTGCTACACCTGAAAAACTGTGATCCTAAGACGGTAAGATGCTCAAAGTCTAGGCGTATGGCTGAAAACGAAACACACGTAAGTCGCTTCTACAAATCACATATTCTTACATGTCGAAAGCTCTACGTTCTTATCCACAGTCAACGCAAAATATGCTGAGATCACCCTAACACACCCTTCTGGGAGCAAAGCTTAGGGAAACGCTTCTTCTCACAACTTCTTTCCTTGAGAAATTGGATGGTTTTTTAAAAGACCAACTTTAGGGTATTGGAAATCCCTACACCTTTTGTGTTTAGCCGGCCAGCTCCATCCTCTGTCCAGTCATCGTGATGTGCACCGTGGTTGGGAAGCATTGAGCCAAAATCATGAACTGGGTGGAGTTTGTGCTTTTTAGCATGCCTCCTCCCTCTGGGACATACGTGTACGATGGCAGAAAGACCCCACGCTCTCATCACTGCTTGTAAGCATCATTTGTAACGGGAATAAATTCGCCAGAAACATTCCTCATAGATAACAGAAAATACAGAATATTTTAATACTATGATGAAGAGGTGGTATGAAAAATAAAATTTTCCTTAAATTTATACCAAGAATTTTCGGAAAGAAAAACATTTTACAGGACTCCCTCTCTATAACCTTTTGAAGCCAGACATTTTCAGGAGGGTTCAACAGTTTCGAATAGAGTAGGGGGAAGGAAGCTGGGGGAAGCAGAGGGAAGGGCCACCAATTCAGGAACTTGGTTTAAAAAGTTCATGGCTTTCCAAGTTGGACAAAATAAAGAAAACCAGAACCCACCGTATTGGCATCGCTTGGACCTATTTACTGGGACAGTCGGCATCACCGAGGCCAGTATTGACCTCATGGGTCACTGCGTCTGGAAGCCGGTCAAAATGAGTCAGCATCTGTTTGTTATTTTGTGTATGTAGTGAAAATATTGCCTTGGGTCAATTAAATTTTTCTTCAAAAAGTGAACATTGCCTAAGCATAATTTCCCCCTTTCTCCTTTTAAAAAATCACAGCACAACTTGCCGTTCCATTTAAACTATTACGTAGAGCTAGTAGATCCATACCTCATTGTCAAACAGGACATGATTTGTAATGAATATTGTGGTCGGGAGGAAACCCGAATAGTTTCTAATAATTCTTAGCCATTTGAACATGGGGTAGGGTACAGGCTAAGACTGGTTTTAATTTTAGTTCATATAAAGCAGAGAAGACTATTTACCAGATGTTGTCTTACTTCAAGTTACGCTGAAATCTTGGGGTAAATTACAGCTGAACTTCAAAGAAGTCTGTTATAATTACCTCTCAGACTTTTTTAATGCATGATAATAATGATAAAAAGAAACAGGTATGTATTGATCACTATCAACAGCAATCCTTGGAACAATGTTGGAAGTTAAGGATTTTGAAATACTTTTCAGACTATGATTTGCTGGAGAAATTAGACCAATTCGTTTATGGCATCTACCAAGTTTTTTTTACTGCTGTTACTTCCACATTTCCTTTCTTTCTTTTTTTTTTTTTCCCTCTAAGACACCTAAGTAGAATATCTGTTTTCTCCAAAGCAACCCTAGGAAAGATGCCTTTGAATAAAATTGGTGTTTTTATAAAATTGCTAAACTGAAGTATGATTTGGAGCGAGTGTGAATTCCATAGAAAAGAGAGCAAGGAAGTGAATATTTACTGAGAATGTACTATGCACAGATACTGTGCTAGTACGTGGCATTGACAAGTTCAGTATGTAAAAGTCCTTTTTTTTCAAAAGATTCTCTTTCAGATAAGATTTATGATAAATTTCTGATGTGCAACACATGGTAAAATTGTAATAGCGTTTTGTAAACGTCAAGATGAAAACCCATTTGGAAAGGAGCTATCTGCTTATTATCTTACTGCTCTGCAGAAGTGATACTCTAGTGTCGTACGGATCCACTCAAAATTAATGCACACCACTGCCCTCCTCTTTTTTTCCATCGTGGGCAACCAGCAGCAGAAGACCCGAGGGGTCGTTGTGTTTCAGGGCAGGCAGAAGCAGCCTGGCTGTGTTTGTGGTTTCTGCTCTGCTCTGAGGGTAGCGCTCCCGGGCGCTCGGCCTCCCCTCACCTCCCAGGCAGGTGGGGCCTGCGTAGGGCCTGTCGCAGTGACACTGGTAACTCAGCCACAGGTTGACGCAGCGTCCTCTGCCCTGACAAGGCTGGCTGCCGCACCAGTCCTTTCCCACGCAGCCTGCCTTGACGTTCAGTGACGAGCCGGACGAGACGTTCTCCAGGGCGATGTGGTTCCCATCAATTTTAACGTCTTGGAGACAGCCTACGAACGAAGGTGTGGACGGCAGATTATAGATGTCACGCAGAGCAACAGCACTGCTGGCCGTCCCCGCCGGTAAGCCACCCAAAAAGGAGTTCTGGGAAGCACATATTGATCGACCACTTTCGAACGGAGAAGGAGCCTTAGCGATGCATCCCTCCTCACAGGAGTCGTCGCTCAAGGTCAGGGTCACAGCCTCTGCAAACGTGACCTCCACGGAATGCCACTGCCCGTCACTGGCGTGGTGGGAGAGGGACAGAAGCACGTCTGACTGACCCATGACCTGAACTGACAAGTGAACGCGGCCCCTTAGCAGCTCCAGCTTCGCGAACACGTCCCCGTTGCCTCGGAGGAGGAGGAGAGCCGTCGGCTGAACAGTCTGAAACCGCAGGGCCACGTCGCACACCGAGCCCTGGGTCGGGACTGAGCCACTCGCGACCCACAGGAAGCCACCGCCCTCGAATGACAGGGTGGTGACCGCTCCGCACGAGGACCCGGCGTAGCCGGGTGGACACAGGCAGCTGAATCCGTGCTGGCCGTCGTGGAAGTGGGGGACGCACGTTCCACTGTTCAGACACGGCCGACGGGTACAGCCCAGGAGGACGTCAGAACAGTCCCTTCCGCCATAAAATGTTCCAGAAAGGTCATCAGAGGGGCAACGGCAGGTGTAATTCCCAGGCAAGTTCTCACAGGTGCCACCATTTCGGCAAGGGTTTGAGGAGCATTCGTTGATGTCTTCTTCACAGTGGATTCCTGTTCAATAATAAAAATAGGTTAAAATTACATGTATTCAAATCAGAAATATGGGTTCCACATAATTTCGGTGTGTAGCCTTGCGGAAGTGCAGAGCCAGCCCAGCTACGACCGGGCGGACCAAACTGTAAACGGTTATTGTGTTAAACTGAGATCAGTCATGTCACTCCACGGATGTGTGAGGACAACACCAAAGTCTCGCAGACTTTGAATTCTGCCTCCAGAAAAAGATAATTTGCCAAATTCAGCCTTTTCCTCAAACTACTGTTGCCAAACACCAAACATACACATGACACTGGCACCACCCAAACGAAAACGGGAAAACGACTGCTAGTAGCGAGGCGAGATACAAATGATGTGTTTGGGGACTCCCTTTTCTGACACTGTTTTCCCGTCCGGGAGGCAGATTTCACTCTGTCCTATTTGGAAACGGTGATTTCGCCTTCTGTCTTCTCTGCACCTCCCTGTAACTCCTAAAACCAAAGTTTGCCAAGTACACAGACAGTCTGGAAACTCGCGCCATGGAGGATTCTCAATTTGCTTCACGAGGAAAGGTTCTCCTCGCCTCTGGATAAAATCTCCAGGAGACCCGCGACTTCTCTGCTCACTCCGGCATAACAGTGTCACGATCGCTTTTAAAAACCCACAGTCATCAGCATGGCCAGTCGCACATAATGATCAAAAGCCTCAGTGCCATTTAGAATGGAAACTTCTTTCTTTGGCTGCGAGGCCGACTTCAGGCTGTCTTGAAGAAAGACCCGGAAGCCTTCTTCCTGCCTTTCCCGTTCCTCCACCGTCCCCAGCCCAGGTCCTCACTGAGTGGTCCGGCCGAGAGGACTGAAGCTTATGAGGAAGAGAAGGGGAAGGGGCAGAGACAGTTTTCACCGGCCTGGTGCTCACCTAGTGCCTTCCATGCTCTCTGCGCCTGGCAGGTGTTTACAGCTGATACTTAGGCCGGGCGCGGTGGCTCACGCCTGTAATCCTAGCACTCTGGGAGGCCGAGGCGGGCGGATTGTTTGAGCTCACGAGTTCCAGACCAGCCTGAGCAAGAGCGAGACCCCGTCTCTACTAAAAAGAGAAAGAAATTAATTGGACAACTAAAAATATACAGAAAATATTAGTCAGGCATGGTGGCACGTGCCTGTAGTCCCAGCTACTCAGGAGGCTGAGGCAGGAGGATCGCTTGAGCCCAGGAGTTTGAGGTTGCTGTGAGCTAGGCTGAC